CTGAAACAAATGGGCCTTCAAATTTCCAGATTAACCTCTCTACTGGGCCAGCACCCCCCTGGGTTCTTTTTCTTTTTTCTCTTTATATTTTCTATTTATTTAGTTAATTATTTTATTAATTATTATTATTATCATTAAAATTAACCAAATTAATTATTTTCATGATAAATTCAGGAAAAATATAATATTTTTATTATTATTATTATTTATTAATTTCACCTTTAATTTATTATTTTTGTAAATAAATACTAACATAGATTAATTTAGTTAATTAGGTCAATTTTAACTTTTTGTTTCACAATAAATAAAATCCATGTAGAATTAGGTTAAGTAATATATTTAACTATTTTATTTTATTTTCATTAAAAACATAAAAAACTTAAAAAACATTTCTTTTAATTAATTAATTAGTTTTAGGATTAATTTAATTAAATGCAAAATAACCAAAAATTCATTATTTTCTCAAAAAGGGTCAAAACCCTAAGGACTTCTCTGATTTAATTTCTTTTCGCGCATATTATTTTTGATCATATTTATGTAATTGCTCCGAGGATGTAATAGCGTAATTAGGACTTTTTTCGCTTTCCTTTAATTTCTCGCATTTACTTTTTCCAAGGGTTTGTTTTTGGCGATGTAAATACCCGACGCCTTGTAATAGCGTAGATTTACTTTCCGCAATATTTTAACTGCTAGATGTATGTTAATTAGGCTATGCATGACAAGACTAATCTCTGAAAATAAAATCAACTCGTAGCTCACCATAACATGTACAAAGATAACTTAACTGAATCCTGACACACTCGCACATGCCACTCCTAGGGTACGCCTCACTTGGTTGCCTCGACGTGGTCATTGAGTATAGGGTGTTTTAGTGGTCGCCTTCCTGTCTAAAGATCAAAGTTGCCTCGAAACGGTTGCCTCGATAAAAAAAGATCTAAGACATTAGGGTTACCGCTAAGGCGTCCTACTATTGCTTTGGTGACCACATGTCCCTATAATCGAATTAACCCGAAAAAATCCAACGACGGTGCTACCTACTTCTCAATAGTGGGATAGTACTGTCTAAAGGGAATTTACACAGCTTAATTCCTTTGAGTAGGTAGAGGTTCTTAGATACTTGCTCTTTCAAAACAAAAACAACTTTTCGCACTTACACTTTTCTGACAAAAGTTTTCAAACAAACACTTCATGACACTCTTGAGGACTGATACAAGAGTTAAAACGAAGTTTTCAAACAAACTTTTTCGAAACCCACAAACACAAGAAAAACAAAACATTTTGAAAACATAGTGAGCAAGTACCTAAGAGCCCGTGGATAACCACAGATAGAAAGGGTGCTAACACCTTCCCTTTCTATAATCTACCTCCCGAACCGAGAAATATCTCGAAAAGGAATTTTGCTGTGCTTTTGTCCTTTCCTTGTTGGAGAAAATAAAAGACGGTGGTGACTCTTGCTTACCGCGATATTTTGCTAAACGCAAACGCGAACCAGCATTTCAAAACAGTCAGTTCTATTTCCACCGATCACACAATGACTTTGAAAATCCAATCTATCAAGCCAAAGAACAAGGTGATGAAGATTGTGAAATACCGGGGGAACTCTCCAGACTTCTGTTACGAGAGGAAAAGGCCATTCAACCACACCAGGAGTCAGTTGAAGTGATAAATCTAGGTATTGAGGCAGACAAGAAGGAAGTCAAGATCGGGGCCAACTTGAAAGACTGTGTCAAGAGAAGATTGGTCCAAATGTTACACGACTATGTCGAAGTGGTCGCTTGGTCATATGAAGATATGTTGGGGCTTGATACTGATATCGTAGTTCATTGTCTGCCAATGAAGGAAGACTGCCCTTCGGTCAAGCAAAAGGTTCGTCGTATACAACCATACATGTCTGAGAAAATAAAAGTTGAGGTAATGAAACAGTTCGAAGCAGGTTTTCTGGTAGTGATGTCCTACCCTTAATGGGTGGAAAATGTTGTTCCAGTACCGAAGAAAGACGGTAAAGTCCGTATGTGCATAGACTATAGGGATTTGAATAGGGAAAGCCCCAAAGGTGATTTCCCACTACCTCATATCGATGTCTTGGTTGACAACACTGCTCAACACAAAGTTTTCTCCTTCATGGATGGTTTCTCCGGATACGATCAAATCAAAATGGCGCCCAGAGACATGGAGGAAACCACTTTTGTCACACAGTGGGGCACCTTCTATTATAAGGTCATGCCTTTCGGTTTGAATAATGCATGCGCAACCTATCAACGGGCTATGGTAGCTTTATTTCATGATATAATTCATCACGAGATAAAAGTTTATGTTGATGACATGATTGCAAGGTCGAAAACTGAGGAAGAACGCCTTAATCATTTACACAAGCTATTTGAAAGGTTGAAGAAATACAAGCTTAGGCTGAATCCCAACAAATGCACCTTCGGGTAAGGTCCGTAAAACTCCTAGGGTTTGTCGTCAATGGAAAAGGTATTGAAGTCGACCCCGCAAAAGTCAAATCCATACAAGAAATTCCATATCCCTGTACTGATAAGGAGGTCAGGGGTTTCTTAGGTCGACTTAACTACATTTCTCAGTTCATATCTCACTTAACTGCTACTTGCAAGCCAATCCTCAAACTATTAAAGAAAGATCAAGTAGTCAGGTGGAATGACGGCTGCCAAGCAGCTTTTGACAAGATCAAAGAGTATTTATAAGAACCTCCAATCCTGATGCCTCTATTTGAAGGAAGACCTTTGATTATGTACTTGACTATATTAGAGAATTCAATGGGGTGTGTGCTAGGTCAACATGACGAGTCTGGCCGAAAAGAGCATGCAATATACTACCTTAGAAAAAAGTTTACCGACTGTGAAACCAGATATTCACTGCTCGAGAAAACTTGCTTCACTTTAGCATGGGCTTCTAGCCGGCTAAGACAGTATATGCTGACTCATACCACTTTATTTATTTCTAAGATAGATCCCATCAAGTATATCTTCGAGAAGCTAGCTCTCTCTGGATGAATAACTAGATGGAAAATGATTTTAACTGAATATGATATCCAGTACACTACACAAAAAGCAATCAAAGGAAGTGTGCTGGCGGATCATTTGTCCCATCAAGCTATTGATGACTACCAATCTATGAACTTTAAATTCCCGAACAAGAATATCATGCTGATAAGCGACTGTAAAAAGCCTGGACCATATGAAGGACTTGAACAAAGATCCGGATGGACTATGGTTTTTGATGGATCTTCCAATGCATTGGGTAATGGAATTGGTGCTGTGATCATTTCTCCCGAAGGTAGCTGTAATACAGTGGGAGAAATGACTTGGGTGTTTTGTGTTTTATCACAATTGTTGCGGATAGTAAGAGTCTCCACCGAATTTTCTTTTATCCAATAAAGGAAAGGGTGAAAAGAACAGGAAAGACCTTTGAGATATTTTATTGAGTTCAGGGGGTAGGTTATGAAAAGGGAAGGTGTTAGCACCTTTTTCATCCGTAGTTTTCTACGGGCTCTTAGTTTCTTGCTAGATCACTTGAAAAATGCTTTGTTTAAAAATGTGTTTTGTGATGGGTGCAAGTTTGAAAATATTTTGAAAACGCCTTTGTTTCAGCAAACTTTATAATGATTCTCATCTCTATAAGAATATATATGAAGTGTTGATTTTGAAGATAAATCAAAGAGATGTTTGTTTTTGAAGATGTTTTGAAATTGTAAGTGTGGAAATGGTTTTAGTTTGTGAGCAAGCAACTACGAGTATCCTACCTACTCAAAAGGTCTTTATTCTTTTCCGCCACCTTTATATGTTGCTATCTTACCATTGATTTGGTAAGAAGCCCCATCATTGGATGTGAAGGGACGGGAGCGGGTCAATCGTACAGTCATAGAAGGCAACTTGTGAGACGCTTTAGCAATTTTCATAAGGGACTAGATCGTTTTACGGAAGGCAACATCGAGGGACATTGAGGGACTATGATATTTTTTATCGAAGGGTCTTTGCTAAAGCGTCTCATATTCGAGGTACATGATTGTATTTTTCGAAGGCAACGAGAGAGGTTACCCTAAAGGTGCACGTGTCAAAAGTGTGTTTAATTCAAGTTAATTTGACTTTGATTAGGGTTATTTAGCGGTTGATTTTAATCTTGCCATACACGCCTAATTACTGTACAATATAAGGAAAAATAGTAAATTGCAGAAATTAAAGTTCTACACTATTACAAAGCTTTCGGGAATGGGGAGTACAAATTTACAAACAAGGATGGGTCAATGCGATTAAAAGTATAAATAGGCAATCAATACAATCAGATCGAATCGAATAATTAGTTAAAACTACAACAATCTATGAAATACAATTAATTGGCAAAATAATTGAAATAATATTTTTGGTATTTTTGTTTATGAGAGAATTTAAAGAGAAAATAAAATCTATTCTAAAAAAATAAAATAATTGACTAAAAGAAATTAAATCATATTTAAAAGAATGTTAACTAAAAAAATGTTAATCAATAAAATTAATCACAAAGTTCTAAACTAAATTAATTAAGGAAATTAACTAATTTTGAAATTATATACCTATTTTAAATGGATTTTTTTAAAAAAAATAAATAAAATAAAACTAAACTAAACTAATATTTCTACTTTGTTAAAAAAAATATAAAGTTATCAAATTAGTATAAATTAAATAAATAATAAAATAAATAAAGTTAATAAATTAATTTAAATCAAATAAATAAGAAAATGATGGTGTTAAGCATAAAATAAGGTGTAACAATATATATTTCGTTGGGATGAGTCCGTTTGTTGATCCATTAAGCCAATGATCAGATTTTTTTAATTTAATCCTAAATATCCTCTCTAAGGCCTTGTTTGTTTTTATAATCAGTAAACACAGGGGTTAAACGATTTTGGTTAGTATGTCCAAACAAGGAAAACGTTAAAATGATGAAAAGGGAAATTAGGGTTCAAGAAAAAATTGTAACCTTTCAGCTATTCCAAACAGATCACGATGACTTCTTTCAAAGTATCATGGTGGAACTCTTCTGACTTCCTCACTTCTTCTTCCGATCCAAACGATGTCACCACCTCTAACAAAAAAATTGCGATCCTTATGTTTTTCTTCGATGATTCTCTTCTCACATATCTGTCTCCGTTTCTTTTTTTGATCCCTTTCCGTTCGTCCTCAACCTTCCGGCTCAGTTTTGGTGGTTTGGGGTATGAAGCAGTTACGGTTGAACTATTGATGATTGAAACGTGATGTTACAGACCACATGTTGATGAAGATGAGGTGTGAAATGCTTATGAATGAAGCAGAGACGCAGAGAGTTAGCTTCAAAATTTTTTGGTGAGTTCTTTAGCCATTTCTATTATGAATCTTCTTTGAGTTCTATGAATCATAATTCCGAGTTTTTCTTTAAAGGGAGTTAATACAGAACTTTTAGAAATCTGCAGGGTGAGGGATATTGGAAATTTGCAGAAGATACTGCTTAAGAAATTTTGCAAAACTTTTGCGATTTTTTTTTAATTTCTCGTATGTGTTTTTGAAAGAGTTATGGTGTGGAGGAAAGTTGCTATTGATTGTCTCTTACGTTGTGATATTTTATGGTTTTCTGTGAGTTTGTAGGCTGTGATTTATGTGTGAGGCTTGGCGGGAGGTTGATGATGAAATAGCAGGCAGTGGGTGATTGTAAAAATGATTAGCGGATTTAAGGTGGTTAGTTATGTTACAAGCATTGCATGTGAATTTTTTTCGGGTCTACGTTGGCTACCGTAGATTCTTGCCCCAAGTTTTTTTTGTGATTGATGGTGTTTATGAATGAGAGGAAAAAGGTTCAGTGTGTATTCTAGGTTGTTTTGATGCAGAGGATGGAAGAATGAATATGTCTTGAAGGGTTTGAGGTGAGGGAATATGGTTGAGGGTTGCTGCCTTTTTTTCTTTTGAAGTTGCTTGGACCAAGATCGTTGAAAAACAGAGGCTAGGTGTGTATATCTCCCTTCTTTTATATTGTCTTCTGTTTTTTATAGTAGAATGAGGGGTTGAATTAGGAGGGAATTTTTGGATCAAAAACTAGTTTTATGTTTACTGACTTATTGCTTTTGATAGCATGTTTTTGCTAATGCTATTTTGTGAAATCTTTGGCTGCTTATTGCAGGTTAGTGGCAGTGTTTTGGAGGTATTGGTATGTGGGGGCTGTTTTTGAAGTTGGAGCCTATTTTTAGCCTGCTATGAGCAGCGGTGCAGAACTGTTATTTGGCTTACTATGCAGCAACTTAGCAAGACTGTTTTGACAGTTTTACAGGCTGGTATAGGGGCTGGTTTGGCACAAGCTTTGATAGCAGGTCTAGGGATAATTTTTTGATTAGGTGATACCTTTTAAAACTTGTCTCTTTTCCTCTTTATCTTTCCATGATGCAAAGTCATTTTGCTATTTTACACAATTTTCTGAAGGGTTGGCATTTTTAGGGAAAATGATGACACCCGAGGTTTTGTGGGCCATTGTTATCTTGCATTGTTTGTGAATTACTGCTATCTTACATGTGCTGCCATTTGTTTTTTCTTGTTGTGTTGCTGTGCTCTTTTGTTGAAGCCTGTTTTAATGCTACTATTTGGCTAGTTTTGTTGATTTGAGTTGTTTTGCTGTGCTGTTTTGTTTTGCTTGCTATTTTGTTTTGCTGTTTTGGTAACTTTGACTTGCAACTGCTTTTGTGTATTTGCTTTCTTGTTTGCCTAGTTGTCGTGCTTGTCAATTGGGACTGTTTTGATGCTGCTTTTGCAATGAAATTGTTCCAAATTTCTTTTCCCTTTTTGTGAACCAAAACATAGACTTTTGTGATTTGCAAAATAGGAGAAGATAGCCTATGATCGAAAACCCCTTTTGAATTTCTTACTCCAAATGCAAACACTAATGATGAAATGTAAATTTCTTTTAACAATTAATTCTTGTTTGGAATTTTTCACATGTTGACGTTTGCTAACTTTTACCTTTTTCTTATTTCATGAACATGAGGATTGGACGGCCAAAGCAAGGTTGAAAGATGAAGAAAAGTCACGGCGAGAAAGGAGGACGAGTTACTCGAAGACGAAGCAAAGAGACTTGAAGAAGAAGAATTTTTTTTTGTAAACAATACAATTGTAGTTCGTATTACGCATTGTAATCCCTTTTGTAAATTGTCCCAAAAATGTAACTTTAACAAAAAACTTGAATGAATTTTATAAATGATGAATTTGGTGTATGGAAATCAAACAATTCTTGAATTTTGATTGAAAATGGAAATTTCCACTTGAATTTGGAAAACAATTGATTGATACTTAAATGTATTTGGTTAATGATGAATGAACAATAATTCAAGCCTTAAGACTTCAATCTTGCATTTGTATTAGAGATCCAAATAAACTTCATGAATTGATCTTCAAAATTGAGAAAATTTGCATCATGAGAAATTAGTTCTTTTGTATATCTTAAATCCAAAAGAAAATTCATTATGAATGAATAGCGCCTCGCACACTTGAACCATTTTGAAATTAAAAAAAAAGAATTATTCGAATTGTTTCTCAAATCTTCTTTAAAACCCACATCGTCAATTCGCGGTAACTTGCAATACGAGCCAATAATACAAATCGCGCCTGTAAGTGATTTAATCAACAATCCACCTTAATCTAATAATCACTAATGTTCACTTGCAAATGAATTGAGGTAAGCGACAAGAAATCAATGAATCATTGAACTAGAACTCTAGTTTCATGAATTACCTCAACATAAGAATCAAACGTCCTTTGAGAAACGTCTGTGACCTAAATTGAACCAAGCATACTTTGACCTCGATCTTTGAAGTAATCTCATAGGTAGTGCTATTCGGGATAATTCCTAAAAAGAATCGCCTCAAGATGTTGAGAATTGAAGAAGTTATGAACCCCAAAAATTGGACAAGAGTTTCTTGTAATTAGGTCAAATTTGCAAAAATGACCTCTAAAGTATTCGAATTTCCTGATAATCTTTCACACGCAATCAGCTTTTGACTTGTAAAGAGGAGTTGGAGATGACATCAAGGAGAGTCATACGCAAAAATAACCACTCAAAAATATCGAATAATGAAGAAGTTACAATCGTTTGAACTTAATCTCACAAAGGTCGATTTTTGGGTCAATGCAATCATTTTCAGTCATCTAAACCATCGACTGAGCAAACTTGTAATGCGAAGTTTTAAACATGGCACGAGCATCCTTGAGGATACATGAAGAACCACATAGACTTTTTGAAACCTTGGAAACTTAACTTTTCTTGAGAAATACCGAACCCTAGTTGCTGACTCAATGCCTAGGAGGAGAATCTGTCTGATCGAACCCTAAGCCATTTTGAGTATTTAAGAAATTTTAGGATAACATCTTGGATGAAAAATGGGAGGGTAAATTTTGGGGTACAACAGCTGCCCCTGTTCAATCTTCTTAAACTTGAAAAGTGAGATTGGCATGTTTGTCGTTCGTAGCTTAAAAGTAGAAGATGATTGAACACTAGAGTGCCCGGAAATTTGCACTTGTTGATGCACAAAGTAATACATTGGATCTATTGTATCAGGAATGGGCTTACAGATGCCATTTGGAGAGTGACAGAATATTGTCGGAGATGGGCTTATAGATGCCATCTATAAGTGGTTGAGAATAGTCGGAGATGGGCTTATAGATGCCATCCAAAGTATTATTGACAAAGATGGGAAGAAGTATCAGGGTAAATCTTTGGTCGATTTATACCGAAACAACAAACGTCTGTATTTGTTTTTTATCTGGATAAGAATCAGAAAAATCTTGGGGTCGATTTGACTGAACCAGAGAAAATGTATACCAAAACAGAATCAGGATATATCATTGGTCGATTTAAACTGAACCAACAGAGGTTCTGAAGGAAGCGTTTGTCATGTAGATAGTCGCCTCGTCCTGTTTCGGGAATTGATCTACAATCAGTTTGATGGTAAACTCGTCCTATTTCGGGAGTTCATACCAATGGTAAATAAAGATAGTCGTCCCGTCCTGTTTTGGGAATTGACCTATAATTTGACCAAGGAGAAAGAAAGATAGTTTCCTCGTCTTGTTTTGGGATTTAATCTTCAATTTGCTCATGTAGATAATTGTCCTGTCTTGTTTCAGGTATTAATCTACAATTAGTTGTTCACGGATAGTTATCCTATCTTGTTTCAGGTATTAATCAAGAACCCGCTTTTGTTGGTCATAGAGATAGTTGCACCGGCTTGTTTCAGGAATTAATCTCTGATTTATTTGAGAAATGTTTGTGGTATTTTCTTATTGATTGGCTTTTCCTGCAAGGAATCGGGTTAGTTGCATGCAGATGTATGCATGGCTTGATGATGTTCTCAAAATAAATGAGATTATGCCGTATGTATTTATCATGTATATAATATGATGTATGACTGAAATATTGTTGAAATATATCTTTGTATGGGAAAATAAATCCTTGACAAATGCTGGGGAGCTTTGGGAAGTTAAATCCCAGACTGTTGTTGAAGAGTATGTGAATCTTCAAACTTCGTTTAGAATGTCTCCGCTGGGGATTCCTGTTTTGAGGAGAAAACTCCACTGGGGAATATTGACTTTACTTGAGAAAACTCTGCGGGGAGTGTTGATTTATGCTTAGGAACTAGAGTTCAGGAGTTTTAGTTGTCCATTGCTCTACTAGGGAGCCATATCTTGAAAGTTAATCGTTATCTGATCGTATTCCAGGTTTCACAACAACTTGCTGGGGATAAAGAAGTTAACTGTTATCTGGTAAGAATCCAGGCTTTGCAGCAACTCACTGGGGATAGTGGCAAACTCTATTGGGGAAGAGGAGTTTTATTAGTGATTTGTAGGAGTTAAAATTCTATCTAGTCGGGTCCAAGCTTTAGTAACTTGAAATTGAGATTCACAGTTATCTGGCCGGGTCCAGGCTTTGGCAACTCGAACTGTTATCTTGGTCGGGTCCAGATTTTGCAGCAATTTAAACCGTTATCTGGTCGGGTCCAGGCTTCAATAATTTGAACAGGGGTTAACTGGTATATGGCCGAGTCTAGGTTTCAGCAATGATTTGAGGAAGTTAAACTGTTATCTGGTCGGGTCCAGGCTTTAGTAACCTATAATTGAGATTAACTGTTATCTGGTCGGGTCTAGGTTTCAGCAACTCAAACTGTTTTCTGGTCGGGTCCAGGATTTAGTAACTTAAAATTGAGATTTACTATTATCTGGTCGGGTCTAGGTTTCAGCAACTCGAA